TTTCCTCTCTCTGATCACCACCTCTTATTGTTTGCTCTCAAGTACCCTCTCACCCAACAACCTTAGCCTAACCCCCCTCAACTCAGGAGGAAGCTTAATTCTCTTGACCTCCAGCAGCTGTCAGCTGATATTGATTCACAACTGCTATCCATCCCTTCCCTCTCCTGTCCCTCACTGGCCTTCTCCACATTTAACACTAACCTCAACTCTGCCTTGAATGCTACAGCCCCGCTCCAAACAAGCACCTCAAGGAGGACACGCCCCTAACCGTGGCATACTAAATCAACACGCTACCTGCAAAGATTCTCCCGTTGTGCTGAATGCTCCTGGAGGAAGTCTCGCACCCAGTCAGACTTTATCCATTATAGGTTCATATTGTGTTCATACAGCGCAGCCCTTGCCCTTGCCCTCGCCAAACAGTCCTACTTTTCCTCTACCATTAGTTCATGCTCCCGCAATCCCAGGCGTCGCTTTGACACCTTTAATTCTCTTCTTCGCCCTGCTGTGGCCACCACCTAAACTAACCTTACTGCCGATAACTTTGCATGTTACTTTAACAACAAGATTGAACAGCTAAGGAAAGTTTTCTCCCCTCCTTGGCATTCTCTTTCTCAACCACACGTAGATCATGTCTTTCCTACCCTTCAAGCTTTCTCCCCGGCTACTGAACAAGAGGTGGCTGCACTTCTCCTTTTCTCTCGCCCCACCACTTGCCCGCTTGATCCTGTCCCATCTCACCTTATCAGAGCTTTCTCCATTTGTCTTGTGCCTTCCTTAATGCACATCTTCAACTGCTCTCTCTTCTGGCGTTGTCCCTGCTGAACTTAAACATGGCACTATAGTACCTATCCTGAAAAAAAACATCTCTTGACCTGTCCTCCCCCTCTTACTATCGTCCTATATCCCTTCTCCCTTTTTCCTCAAAGCTTCTGGAAAGACTCGTCTTTACCCGTGTATCTCACTTCCTCATTTCTAACTCTCTCCCTGACCCTCTTCAATCTGGCTTCCGCCCTCTCCACTCTACTGAAACTGCGCTTGTCAAAGTTACTAATGACCTAATCGCAACTAAAGCCAAAGGTCACTTCTCCATACTAATTCTTCTTGATCTCTCAGCTGCCTTTGACACCGTTGATCATACTCTCCTTCTTTAAACTCTTCAATCACTCGGTCTCTGTGACTCTGTCCTCTCATTGTTTTCCTCATATCGCTCCCAACGCTCATTCAATGTTTCCTTTTCTAATGATACCTCCTCCCTTTGTCCTGTCTCGGTTGGAGTCCCCCAAGGCTCTGTCCTTGGTCCCCTTCTATTTTCTCTTTATACTTCTTCTCTTGGCAAACTTATTACCTCTTTTGGATTCCACTACCACCTGTACGCTGATGACACCCAGATATATCTCTCCTCCCCGGACCACTCTCCTGCCGTCCTGCAACCTGTCACTGTTTGCCTTTCTTCCATCTCTGACTGGATGTCCTCCCGCTTTCTGAAACTCAAAAACTGAGCTCCTTATCTTTCCTACTCCTAATACTGATCCTTCTCTTTCACTCTCAAATCAAGTTAGTGGTATTCAAATAAGTCCATCCTTGCAAGTGCGCTGTCTTGGCGTCATACTTTATTCTGGACTCACCTTTGAGCCTTACATCCAGTATGTTGCCAAATCCTGTAGATTCAATCTTAAAAACATAGCCCGCATCCGCCCCTTTCTTACGCAAGATGCTACCAAGGAGCTTGTCCATGCTCTAGTAATTTCCCGCATGGATTACTGTAACCCTCTCCTGATTAGTCTTCCCAAAAGCTGTACTGCACTGCTACAGTCTATAATGAATGATGCCGCCAGACTGATTTTCCTCTCTAGTCGGTTCTCTCACTCCTATGTCAGTCCTTACATTGGCTTCCTGTATTCTTTAGGAGTCAATTCAAGGTATTAATTCACACCTATAAAGCACTGAACAGTTTTAGCCCCTCTTATATTTCCTCACAGATCCATAGGCATGTCCCTTCTCGGTCTCTCCACTCTTCCCGTGACCTTCTTCTGTAAGTTGTTCGCACCTGTACGGACAACTCACGCTTGCAGGACTTCTCGCGGGCTGCTCCCTTCCTATGGAATAGCCTGCCTACCACCATCAGACTCTCCCCTAGTCTTGCATCTTTTAAGAAGTGCCTTAAAACCCATCTCTTTAGGAAAGCTTATGGCCTCCCAGAGTAACCTCTACCTCACACACCTGTCTCTTGCTCTCTCCTAAAGGGCAGCACTCTACTCTCTCCTCCATCTCTGCTTCACTACCACCTAATTTGATTGCTATTTCCTGTCCTAATGTGTTTTACACCCCACCTCCTATAGACTGTAAGCTCGTTTGAGCAGGGCCCTCTTCAACCTATCGTTCCTGTAAGTTTCCTTGTAATTGTCCTATTTATAGTTAAATACCCCCTCTCATAGTATTGTAAAGCGCTAAGGAATCTGTTGGCACTATATAAATGGCGATAATAATAATAATACATCCGCTAGAACACATATAGAATGTATTTCATAATCTTTAATGTGACTACAGATCATGATTGGTATGACAGGTGCACTTTAACCCCTTAAGAACAGTGGGCGTTCTATGCCGTCCTTGTGGACCCGGCTCTAAACGGCGGTGGGCGGCATAGAATGCCCAATCTGTCCTATGTACTTACCCAGTCGCCGGCGATTGCGGTGTGGGGACTTACCTGGGAATCCCCCTCCTTCCTCAAAGATACAGTTTAAAATAAAATATATACTTAGATCATATATATATATATATACACACACATACACTGTCTAAGTGTATTTTAATATTAATATATATATTTATAAATATATATTAATATCAAAATACACAGAATTATATTGATTAAATATATATAATTTTCATTATATATATATTTATAATATAAAATAAATAAATATGTAAATACGTTCTAATTGCATTTTAAAATTAATATATATATGTGTATATATATATATATATATATATAACAAAATATATGTAGAACAATATATATATATATATATATTTATATAAAAAAATAATTTTAAAATTTATACACACGTGTGTGTATATATATATATATATATATCTATATATATATATATATATATATCTATATATCTATCTATATATAGATAGATATATAGATATATATATATATATTAATTCTATTATAGATTTCTGTAATAATTTTACATAATTAGGAATTTTATTAATTACCGTATTTATCGGCGTATAACACGTACCGGCGTATAACACGCACCTCATTTCAAGAAGGAAATTTCAGGGGAAAAAAACTTAAAGGACCACTATAGTGCCAGGAAAACATACTCGTTTTCCTGGCACTATAGTGCCCTGAGGGTGCCCCCACCCTCAGGGACCCCCTCCCGCCGGGCTCTGGAGAGAGGAAGGGGTTAAACACTTACCTTTCTCCAGCGCCGGGCGGGGAGCTGTACTCCTCCTTGCTCCCGACGTCATCGGCTGAATGCGCAGGTGCATTCATCCGGTCGCATAGGAAAGCATTTACAATGCTTTCCTATGGATGCTTGCGTGCTCTCACTGTGATTTTCACAGTGAGAAGCACGCAAGCGCCTCTAGCGGCTGTCAATGAGATAGCCACTAGAGGCTCTGGAGGCTGAATTAACCCTCAGTATAAACATACTTCTTACCCCCATTCCCTCTTCTTACCCCCCTGCCCTCTATTTACCCCCTTCTTACCCCCCTCCCCTGTAGCGTGGCCGAGCTGCTCCGCTGTCCGCGGAACAGGAGTTTCTGTTTCCTGTACCCGGTCGGACTGACAGGAAGGTGCACACTGAGCGTGCACCTTCCTATCACTCCGGCCGGCCACCGCGGACAGCGGAGCAGTTCGGCTACGCTACAGGGGAGGTGAAAACCAACTGCAGCCGCCTGAGCGCTCTTGACAGAGCGCTCAGGCGGCTGCAGTATTTAAAGGGCCGGCGTATAACACGCACCCACAATTTCTCCCCTATTTTCAGGGAGAAAAAGTGCGTGTTATACGCCGATAAATATGGTACATTTTACGGGACCTGTCTGACAATGGGACACTGGCCAAAATTGGCGTTCAAATTCGTTTTTTGCATTTTTCACACACAAATATTAACGCTAACTTTGGCTAGTGTTTGTGACCAAGTGGCTACTAAAAAAGACTGGACAGTTGCCTACTATTGCATATGGTATGCAATCATGGGGGTAATTCTCAAAGGCAACATAACCAATCTGGCGAATTTCAATGTGAAAAAACTGAAAAATTTAACATGCTATATTTGACCCTGTAACTTCCCAAAACACCATAAAACCAGTACATAAGGGGTACTGTTTTACATGTGAGACATCGCTGAATACAAATATGTGTATTTTATTGCAGTAAAAGCAAACAGTATTATGACATTCACAGTTAGAATGTCACGTAGAACTAAAATGTTTTTTAAAATTCTTATTTTCTCCCATTTTTTAAATATTTTATTCATATTAAATTATGTTTTATACCTAAATATTTTATGTTAAATGAAAGCCCTGTTTCTCCTGAATAAAATGATATATAATAAGTGTGGGTGTACATAATATGAAAGAGGCGAATTATGCCTGAACAGACATATAGCGCAAATTTGAGTTTTTGTTTATGTTTTGATCACAACGTGTACATTTGGCTCAGTCCTTAAGGGGTTAAGTAATGTGTCTACACCTGTAAACACCTGTCTTATGCAGAAAAATAAAGAACTATACTTGATTCGCAAATTAGAATAAATATAAACATACGTACAGAATATTACATTATGTGAGCCATCATTCTGACTTTGATTAATGCAGAGTGTACAATTCATAGTCTCTGCCTTTCTTACAAAGTCTACAAGACTGTATAGTTTCTACCCTACATACAATCAATCACGTCTGAAGCTATCCGTGCAAAACATAAAATTACAATGAAGGTTTGACGATGTATTTGATTGATACATTTCGACAAGGCAACGTTGAGAAGACGTAAAATACTATCTAGTGATGTTTTGCTGGTGGCTAGCCAGTCACATTACAGAATGTCACTAGGTGTCCACAGACCTGCGTACCATAGTGCCAAGAGGGAACCTGACAGCAGTAACATAATTTAGGCTGAAAGCCCAACACATAATCCCGTCAAGTTCAAAATGTCACAAATCCCTTGTCTGTCGCTTGTGCTGCAGAGTGTGTGTGTGTGTGTGTGTGTGTGTGTGTAGCATTGCAAATGTTATCACAACAGAGTACCAGATGGAACAGCATCGTATGTTAACTTTTTAAATGCCAAGTACACATCAAGGAACAAACAAAACAATTTTTAATGTATATAAAACATATTTACACTAACAGTTTGTTTAATTTGGGTGGTGTGGGAGCTGCAAATTCTTAACACTAAGTTATTATAAAAGGATTTTTAATTCCAATAACAAATATACAAGGATGGCAGAGGTATACATCCACACACCAATCACTTCTATACATACACACATAGTACCTCAATTTATCCTGTAAGTGCCACAAGATCAATTATTATATCCCTCTTGTCCTGAAAAAGTTTAACCTGACAGTGCAAACAGATGAACTTGTTCATTTATATCAGAGTACAAAGACCTTTGCCTGCTATTCTTGTTCCACCTGTACACTGTACATAAATCTAAAACAGCTCTCAGATAATGCAGCTATAATTAAGGAAAACCCAGTACACATCTGAACTTACTTTCCTCCTTTGCAGTTAGTATGATCACACGGGCGCCAATAAGAGTGAAAGGTTTCTGTACACAGCATATATAACAAGTGCTTTCCTTGAAGCCCAGAATTAATCTGCTGTCTTCTGTATTCAGCATGACCTCCTCTCAATCCTTTGAATGAGATTTTAACAAAAAATTTTTTCAAGGAAAACCACAATGAGATGCTTTCCTAATTCCTGGAAGCTGAGTCAGTCTGTCACTGGTGTGCTTTCACTAAGGAAATAAAAGAGAGCCATGTGTATATCTGCCAGTGATGTCCATCATTCCACTTCCACACAGGTGAAACTCTTTATCAAATACCAGCATTCCATCACCATCTGTATTTTAAGGTATCCATAGAAATAAGCACGTTTCCTCATTTCTTCATGTATATTTAATTTTGTAGAATAATTGCCCAGCCAAAAAATAAATAAAAATCTAATTCTTCCAAATATTTTGAAGATTGTTCAATACACCACAAAATCATTATGATATATGAAGAAAATATGTGAATCAAAATATAATAATAAAAATTAATCCCACTGTGTTCTAAATCAGGAAGCAAATAAAGCAGATCCCAAGAGCTCCACTATGTGTGTACAGCATCTCTGCCTTGTTTTTCATAGAAGAAGACTAACAAAGCTCTGTCGTCTGTTTTATGCTCTGCTCTCCAATCCATTCGTACAAACCCAGATATTTCGCAACAGCCTCTTACTTAACTGGGCTGTCCCACCTACTCACATTTACACAGTGCAATCAAAGAGCAAGCAGGAAACTGCAATGTAACTGCCAGTACTGCCTCTTCCAAGAAAGAGACTCAGCCCACAGCTCTCAGCACCTGCATCTTAACCAGTTCTCCCGAGGACCGTATTATGAGCTGTCCCATCAAACATGGAAGAGGTTTAAACGTGAATGAGCATTTCGATTTCTGAATGGATAAGACTCATGAGCAGCTGACATGGAGCAAATAAAAGTCCCAGCAGCATGTACAGATTTCTAAATTATTAAGTGAAATGACAGATTAACTGTGCATCTGCCAGCAGTCACTTTCTTAATCTTTAACCTTCTTAGAGGCATTTTGTTTTCATGAATATAAAAAACACAGGAAAATATTTCATCACTGCCATCAAAATGTCACCAAACTGTGCACTCCCTATCAAATAAAAATCTTACACCTAATGTTTCTCTCATGTAGATAATCTTACTATAATAAGAGGACAGGTAATACAAAAAAATACAGCTTTGTAGTAAGCGTTAGTATCTGTGCAACTTATATAAGTCTGGTGCCGATATATTTAATCATACATCCAGTGGAGTTTATTCACTAAACTTCAAACTGCACTGAAATAGTAACGTAACTGCAATATATAGGGGGAAAGTGCGGATTTGGAAGTCACTGGTATTTGTTTTACAGGTCACTATATTGTGTTGTTGTGTTGTTTAGTAAAGAAGCCCTACTATGAACAAAAGTAAAGCAATAATACACAAACATTGTGTGTAATGCATAACCTACTGTGTGTAATAAATAAAGATCAGGGCTGACAAAGGGACAGGAAGGTAACTGCCCCCAGGACTCTGACTGACCCTGATCACAGGACAATGTCCTTCTTGATGGATATCAAATTGTGTTTTATCTGCTGTAGATGCTTGTGACTGAGCATACCCATGGAGTAGAAGGTACCTGTGTGAGAGTCTGTTGTGATCCTGTGTTCTGTGCTGATACCCACAGGCTAAAAGACATTCTCTAACCAGCACAGACAATTTTCAGCCAGGAGTCGCTGTGATAACAACTTAGATGTTGCTTTGTTAGTCACTCATGTGAGAAGTTTGCAGTAAACACTTTATTTCACAATCTCCATTCCTTTCAGCACAGCTATTCCTAACTGGAAATGATTCACCCACCAAGAATCAGAGTCCATGCTTTTATATAAAAGACATGTCTTTTAGAATAGTGATCTGGTTTATGCAGAGGGCACGCGTCTTTGTGACCACCAACAAATGGTGACTGAGTCACTCCTTTCATAATATGAGTCGCCCTGACACATTTCCTTTTGTCTCTTTTTTTCTTTAATGCCTACCATCTCTTCAAAAGTTTCAAGCTCACTAAGAGCAGGGGGCACATTTATGGATTTTGTAAGCACAGAGAATGTTCCCTAACTGTACTATTCCCTTGTCGACCTCTGCACTGATTCACCTGCTAAGCTTTCCGCAGAAGCTGTTAGTCATAATAACTGGAGTCAGTTTTCTGAAGCCCTAATTAGTTAGTAACCCTTTTACTCCCCTAAGTGAATTCACAGACATATTTTTAAGATTCAGTCTAGAAACATGCACCTCATCTCTCAATCTATATTTATCTCATATATGGGATTAGATGCAGATACTTTTTTTTTGCCTCAGTAAAAAAAATTAAAAAATAAGAATTTTCCTTTTTTCTGTATTTATAAGATATCAGAAAAAAAAGTTTTTACTAAATAAATAACTGGTTCATCGTTTGGTTTAACATAACATTTGGATACAAAATAGTAACATGTTCAGCAAGTCATAAACCCTGCCTCAAGACACCACCCACAACCTTGTAAGCTGGTTTTCTCTCTAATCCATGGGTCGTCAACCTGGTCCCTACCGCCCACTAGTGGGCGTTTTGGGATTCCAGGTGGGCGGTAGGGACTTTGGAGGTTAAAACCTCCTTTTGAGCGAGCGCGCGAGCGGGCGGGCGCGCGAGCGAGCGCACACATCAAGAAACCAACGCGAGCGAGTGGGCGGGCGGTGCAGGCGGGCGCGAGCGCACACATCAGTCAACCTCCTTTTGTGTGAGAAGTTGTCGGGCGGGAGCGAGCGCACGCAAACACGTGGGAAGAGGAAGGGGAGGAGTTGAAACTGATAGCAGGGACAGGCAGAAGCAGGCTGAAACGGAGCAGAGGAGTTGAAAAAGAAAAGTTATAGGCAGGAGAAAGAGAATTGTTTAGGGGAGGAGTGGAAACTGATAGCAGGGACAGGCAGAAGCAGGCTGAAACAGAGCAGAGGAGTTGAAAAAGAAAAGTTATAGGCAGGAGAAAGAGAATTGTTTAGGGGAGGAGTGGAAACTGATAGCAGGGACAGGCAGAAGCAGGCTGAAACAGAGCAGAGGAGTTGAAAAAGAAAAGTTATAGGCAGGAGAAAGAGAATTGTTTAGGGGAGGAGTGGAAACTGATAGCAGGGACAGGCAGAAGCAGGCTGAAACGGAGCAGAGGAGTTGAAAAAGAAAAGTTAAGGGCAAAGAGAGAAAGAGAATTGTTGGCTAATAATAATAAGTGGGCTAACTAGCTCAGCCTTACTTTTGTCGCTCAGGAAGGTAAAAGAAAGGAGATAAAAAGGAAAAGATAAAAAAAATTAAAAAAGGAAGAAAAATAGAAAAAAGGGGATAAAATAAAGGAGGAGAGTAAGCAGTGTTTAGTCTGGCTCATAAATTAAGTTTTGTTATCTTATAAAATAAAAGAAAAAAATAAGTAAGGGAAGGAGAAAATAAAAAAAAGGAAAAAGAGATCCTTAATATAGTGATATACTATAAGGAAGGTAAAGAAGCAGGCAGGAAAAGGAATTTCTTTTGATGGTGATATTAATAAAAATTGGCACCTAATACAGCATTGTTTTTGGTGTTAGTAATAAAAGGGAAAAGAGGAGGGAAAAAAGCACTGTGTGGAGTGCAGATCAAAACGTAAGAGTAAAAGTAGTTGTTAAATTGTGAAACAAATTTAGAACCCATGTCTGAAAAAAAGAAATACGCTCGTGGCTATTTACCAGAGTATCTGAAGATGGGTTTCATTGAATCTGTTACAAATAAACAGCTTCCAATGTGTTTACTGTGCCACAAGACATTATCTAATGAAGCAATGAAGCCAAGTCGATTGCGAGAACATCTTACTACAAAGCATTCGCAAGATAAAGATAAGCCCATTGAATATTTTCAAGAAATCTATAAAAGATTTCAAAATCGTTCAACAATAGCTACATCCTTTCAAAAACAACATGCAAAGAATGAGGATGGATTAACTGCAGCTTATCGTATATCACACTTAATTGCAAAAAGTGGTAAAAGCCATAATATTGGAGAAACTTTGATAATACCCTCTATCAAAGAATTTATCTCAACAGTAATGCATCAGGATATACCTGAAGTTTTAAAAACATTGCCCCTTAGCGATAACACAGTAAAGAGACGCATTGATGAAATGGCGGCTAATGTTGAAAATAAACTTATAGGTATTCTCCAAAATTCGTCATTTTCTATACAATTGGATGAGTCTGTCATTGCAGATAATAATGCTCTACTGATGACATATGTACGGTACCTTGATGAAAACAATACATTGCAAGAAGAAATGCTATTCACTGTCAATCTGATTACAGATACAAAAGGATTATCAATATTTAATGCTGTGAAATCATACTTTGCAAAAAACAATATACCCTTGAACAATATTGTTGCATGTGCTACTGACGGAGCACCATCAATGGTAGGCCGCTATCGTGGGTTTGTTGCTTACTTGAAGGAAGAAGTGCCAAGCGTTTTGTGTATTCATTGTGTTGTACACAGACAACATATTGTAGGAAAACATTTAAGTACAAGTCTCCATTCATCATTAAGTATTATAATTAAAGCTGTAAATAAGATAAAATCTAATGCCAAGTGTGATAGAATGTTTCGACAGCTGTGCCAGGACAATAACGAGCAGTTTATTAGGTTACTTTTACATACAGAAGTTCGATGGCTCTCAAAGGGTACATGCTTGACTCGTTTTGTTGCATTATTTGATAGTGTCGTACAGTTTTTTGAAAGTGATAATGAGACTGGTCTCTATGAACAGTTAAAAAACGTAAAGAATGATGCCTTTTATTTGGCAGACATTTTCAAGAGATTTAATGACATTAATTTGCAGCTTCAAGGAGCCAATATAACTCTTATAAGTTGCAAAAATATTGTGTCATTATTTATCGAAAAGCTTGATCTTCTCCGTCATAATATTTTCAAGAGAGAATTTCATCAGTTTCCTGAATTGTCCTCTATAAACAATGATGTAAGTCCGGGGGATATTGAAAGGTTCAGTAGTCACCTCAAGGAACTCAAATTGGATATGGAAAAACGATTTCAAGATATTTTGAACTTAAAGGTGCATGACTGGATGATAAATCCTTTTACAGCAAATGTTGCTGAAGTTGATATAACTTGCCAAGAAGAACTATTAGAACTTAAATATGACGAAGAGAGTAAATGTAATTTTGGCAGTGGTGGATACCAAAAACTCTGGCAAAATAAAAAAATGCCTGCGTTATATCCAAATATGTGGAAAATGATGTTCAATTTATTGATACCTTTCCCTACCACATATCTTGTAGAATCAGGCTTTAGTGCTGTTAATCATATTATGAGCAAACAGAGAAACCGTCTGAATATCACCGAAAGAGGAGACCTTCGTTTGTTCCTTACGAAAATCGAACCAGATATCAAATATTTAGTCTCGCAGCATCAGCCTCAAGGATCTCACTAGTAAAGCTAATTTCAATTTACTTTATTGTTTTCTAATTAAACTTTATAAAGTTAAAAACATTATAAACATGCATAAAGTAGAAATAAAAAGATAAGTGTACGTACATTTATTTATTTTTTTTAAAACAACCTCCTTTCTAAAAAATATTCCGCGCTTGCGCGAAAACTGGTGGGCGGTAAGGAAATTTTTCCATCAAGAAAGATGCATTAGTGGGCGGTAGGTAGAAAAAGGTTGACTACCACTGCTCTAATCAATAATTACCATTTTTATGGAGCCAACATATTATACAGCACTTTACTGAGGATCTAAAATAGCAAGAAATTATACACACAGGGTGAACGGGGGCACGCCCAAACTATCAATTCAGAATGACCCTCTTTCTAACACTTTCTTTACACTTTTTTTTTTATCTGTTCTGTTCAAATTCTGTGGCAACATTTATCTTTTTCTCTAACCACAGAAACAGATTTACTGCTCTTACACACCTAACCACAGGAACATTCATTCCTAATTAGAACAAATCCATAAACTAAACACTATTGTGTACAGTAGCATAGGTCTGTTGAACCTTATACTAACCCCACACAGCATAGAAATGCAACTGTATCTCTACCGGGGTTAATAAATGCACACAATTTGTGCAGTTTTCTGAAGCCATATTTCTGCAACTACAAACATGTACTTCCATACCTACCTCACATATACTTACATACCCACCAACACTGAGAGATATGACTGTAGAATGGTGGGCTTGATGGACCAATAGTGGGGTGCTCTAGTTAAGCTGTTCATGTTATTGGTGACAGGGTGCACTGCTGATTGACATAGAGCGGCTAGCTGACGCTCTAAGCCATTCAGTAGCTCCCCACTAATAGAAAGGGTGTGACAAAGGAACGTATCTTTCTCAAGTCATTTTAAAATACAATTCTTTAAGAGACACATGGAAAGGACTAGGGGTGGAAATTGGCACATAGAAAGGATGGAGGGAGAATTGAGACCAATGAAGGGACTGGGGGGCGGGGGGGGAGGAGGAGGAGGAGGATTTACACATGGAAGGGACTGGCAACAAGGAGGTGGCCAGCCCAGGGAGAATGGAGATGGGCGAGGACTGGGTAGAGGGAAACACAGGTCCTTCTACTTGCATTCAAATCGGCCATGCTACTTGTTGCGACTGGCAGGAGGGGAGTGCTGTGCGGTCCCTTTCTGCTGGTCACCCTGCAACTGCGAGCCAGGTCATGTGTGGATGAGCACCTGCCCTGAAGTGATAGTGGCAATACGATTAAAACAGCATTTTCTAAAATGTATTGTTATACGTCAGGATGGTTTAGAAAATGTGATATGCCTTACACTGGACCTGAAGGGGATATATTGTGGAAATAAATCACACATATTGTGGGAGCACAAGGCTTGCAATAGTATAACTAGCAGCCATCCCTCAACATAAACCAGGAAGCAACCTTCAGGTAAGTCTATCTTTGAATCTATTTAACAGTGATTTCTAGCAGAAAAAAAAACTATTCAATTTTATTATTACCTGAACAGAACCTTGGTAACTGCTGACGACAGATCCATATAAATATAGTTTGGGGTTAACAAAGGCATCTACTGACTCATCAACCTGCAATTTTGAACCTTTTCTACAGTAAGAACAGTAACAATAGTTTTAAGGGAAATGTCAAGAGATTTTCTTTCCATTATTAGCTGAGATTTGTTTATTGTAACTAAATATAAGGTGAAAGGGTTGAAGAGGCACAATTACAGGATATTTTAAACTAAAACTGAAAACGCATTTGGACCTTTTGTATGCCTTCCCATGACCATACACTCATTAGTGATGTGACCTATCTGTATGACTCACTGGTAAAACAGCATTTCCTTGTGTTAATACTGCATACATCTTCTATTCTGATATTATTCAGCGAGGAGGGTGATTAAACAATGATATTGTGTTGGTGCAGATTATGTAGTGCAGAAATCTAGCATGCAGTTTTTTAAATACATTTTTATATATTAGAAACAGGTAATTATTTTCTTATGTGAACTTCAGAAACATATTTACTGCAATTAGCTATCTAGTATAAGTCTACTAATCAGATACACGTTGATAAACACTTTCTTTGGCTCAGATTAGCAAGCTTATGAAATACACAGTTCATTCATGAAAATCCATGAACGAAAATATTTATTAACCTAACAGCATCTGCAAGGAATCCTTCATGATTTTCTTGTTTAGTTTTTTTTTGTAGTTGTTTCTGGTCGTGTATGTGCACAATCTCCCGCTGAAAAATTCTCAATGAACCCATGAAAGTCACTCAGGATTTGCACACTGTACAGCATGTGAATGTAATTTGTCCATACACTGCACAGGTTTACACCTGTCAATGGGAAATTATGCATTACCTACTACAGCGCAGAGTTGGAGTGGACATAGAGCAGCAGCGTTTTTTTTTGTTTTTTTTTTATAGTGCTACAACTATGATGAATACAATGAAGTGAGATTGGATCAGGGAGATCTATATGCTCTAATCTACATTATCGAAACAGGAAAGGTGGCTATGGAGCTTCAACCTTGAAGTCTAAACGGTCATTTATTTGACTGAGATGAGGTGCACCACTTGCCTGCATTCCCCAAACAAAAAGCCAGCTCAAAGTCAGGGCTGAATTGTGAGGGTTCTTTACAAGTCTGCATCCCCTAACAGTTTTTTTCCCACTGTGACAGACACCTCCGGTGACGGATGCAACTAGCGCTGCTCAAGGACCATCAGCACCGCACTTGACACCATAGGCACCGCAGACTCCACGAACCGACGTAGCTTGGTTGGGATCTCACCGTCTCCTTCCCACCCTGGGACTCCAACCTTTGCATCCAGGAGCGTGTGGAAAGGATCTCTCCTCCAAGAGAGTATAGCTGGGGCTCTCCTCCAAGAGAGTAGAGCTGGGGCTCTCCTCCAAGATAGTATAGCTGGGGCTCTCCCAGTGGCGGATCCAGAGCCTGATCTCGGGAGGGGCACTTGTAGATTATTTAAAGAAATAATCCAGACACAATAACCACTACAGCTCAGTGTAGTGGTTATGGTGTCAATAGTGCCGGGACCCCCTCCCACAGTAAGTAGTCAAACCGTTTTAGAACAGTTTGACAACTTACCTGAGATCTGCTGGGAAATGGGGCTGTAGTAGGGCATAGGAGCAGTGGTGTGTGTGAGTGGTGCAATGTGTAAGGGGTGCAGTGTGTGTGTGAAGGTTGTAGTGTGTGAGTGAGGGCGGCAGTGTATGTCAGGGATGCAGTGTATGTGTGTGTGGGGGGCAGTGTGTGTGTATGGGGGGGCAGTGTGTGTGTGTATGGGTGGGCAGTGTGTGTGTGTGTGTATGGGGAAGCAATGTGTGTGTGTATGGGGGAGCAATGTGTGTATGTGGGGGCAGTTTGTGTGTGTATGGCGGGCAGTTTGTGTGTGTATGGGGGGCAGTGTGTATATGTGGGGCAGTATGTATGTGGGGCAGTGTGTGTGTATGGGGGCAGTGTGTGTGTATGGGGGCAGTGTGTGTGTATGGGGGCAGTTTGTGTGTATGGGGGCAGTGTGTGTGTGTATGTGGGGGGCAGTGTGTGTGTGTATGTGGGGGGGCAGTGTGTGTATGTGGGGGGCAGTGTGTGTGTATAGGGGCAGTGTTTTTCTAATGGGGCAGTATGTGTGTATAGGGGGCAGTATGTGTATAGGGGGGCAGTTTGTGTGTATAGGGGCAGTTTGTGTGTATGGGGGGCAGTTTGTGTGAAAAAGGGGAGGGCAGTTTGTGTGAATGGGAGGGCAGTTTGTGTGTGAATGGGGAGGGCAGTTTGTGTGTGTAATGGGGGCAGTTTGTGTGAATGGGGGGCAGTGTTTTTCTAATGGGGGCAGTATGTGTGTGTATGGGGGGCAGTATGTGTGTATGGGGGGCAGTATGTGTGTATAGGGGGCAGTTTGTGTGTATGGGGGGGCAGTTTGTGTATGGGGGGGCAGTTTGTGTGAATGGGGAGGGCAGTTTGTGTGACTGGGGGGGCAGTTTGTGTGTATTGGGGGGGCAGTATTGGGGGCAATATATATGTGTGTGTTTGGATTTTTTTTATTATATATATATATTTTTTTTTATTTAATTAAAATAAATATTATCCTATGTCCCCCCTCCCTTCTTACCTTTACTGGGGAGGAGGGGGGACATATTTCGATCCCTGGTGGTCCCAGTGGTGATTCCCTGGTGGTCCCAGTGGTGATTCCCTGGTGGTCCCAGTGGTGATTCCCTGGTGGTCCCAGTGGTGATTCCCTGGTGGTCCCAGTGGTTACAGTGAACTCTAGCCCGCGCTCCCGGGCTAGAGTTCACTTTCGTGAGATTTGGAGCGTTGCCGTGGTAACCGCGGCAACGCTTCAAATCTCACGAGAGGAGGACCCGGAGGAGCTGCAGCCTGAGCTCCGGGTCCTCCCTCTCACTCCCTCCCTCCGCCGCCGGCCGCCAGCACAGTGCCTGCGGACCGGGGAGGGAGATCTGTGATCTCCCTTCCGGTCCACAGGCACATTGCAGGGCTGGCAGGGGAGGGAGACCGGCGGAATTCTCGGGGGGGGCAATTGCCCCGTTGCCCCCCCCCCTGGATCCGCCACTGGGCTCTCCTCCAGGAGAGTATAGCTGGGACTCTCCTCATGGAGAGTATAGCTGAAGAGAGCTCTTACAAGAGCTAGTAGTTATATAGCTGGTATAGTTGTTCCCCACAACAAGAGACAAGGTTACAAGTTGAGGGTAAGAAGATCTGCTTTATTGAGTGCAATGAGCATTTCTTTTATACAGTTTTCCCCACAAGGTTACCACCCACGTGGACCTTGTTGGGCACCGACAACACAAATTTAACAACCAATCATTTACAGACACACGGTTAAGCACTCCCATTCATTACTGTAAAAGTCCACCCCTCCGCTTGGGAGATAATTGAGTTAATTGCTGTATCAACTCAATTATCTCCAAGCGAAAAATATACTTTTTATACAATTTTTATAACTCAAATACTATACATGCAATATAAATTTTTTTCTGAACCAGCATACTTAGGGGACAAACATTTCCAAAAATCATACGAATTGGTCCAGTGGTTCGGGAGATAGCTGGAAGTCCCATTTTGACCGACTGCACGCACATTTTCATGCCCAAAACAGTTCCAGAGTTTTGAGCTGTGTGGCCGGTCAATTTCCTATGTTAAGTTCAGTTTAAATAGATGAACAGCAACCGTTCGTGCAAAAGTCAATGTAAAAGTGCCAGTCGAATGAGTTGAAGTCTGGAGAAGGTAAAATTCAGCGGTGTTTGTGCCGTCGCGTATCCGATTTGAGTTCCATGAACTCGATGGCAAAACACAGTTGAATGCGTTCAACTGAATTAAAATGGCGGCCACTTCGACTACTTCGGCTGCATCCGAGGGTGCCAGTTCAAAAGTGCAGCTCCTTTCCCATTGGATTTAAAGGGCCAGAAACAGTCTTTTAGCATCCAATCTGCATAAATTTAGTTTTTAAAGGGAAATACACAAGTGTGCCATAGTCACAAGGCAAAAGCCTGGCCATCAGTCCTCTCCAAGCACAAGTGGCGAAGGACACTTCGTCACCCCCACCATTTATCCTTACTCCACTTTAATTTATATAGCATGAGTCTACATCTGTGAGAAATCGTCATAAGCTACCTAACTAGTCGATCAACTCCTCAAGTGCTGACACCCGAAATACCTTTTCTTTGATGCCTTCTTGATGATGTATTTTCTCCTCTTCTCCCTTCTACCCCAGTGCGTATTGTCGCTCCAGGTTGCGAGCTCGCAGTCCATCTTACAAAGAACTTTATATGAAAGTGCTACAAATGTTAGAGTAAAACCCAGGAGCAAAAAGGCCAAGGTTCTGTATTGTTTATTTCTAAGGGCACTAGAACTGTTAAATAAAGAAAATAACTGTATAATACAATATCAGAGTGGGAAGAGCCACTTTTATATAAGTATACATGCCCTATGGTTTTTATGGTTAAGTACCACAATATTTTACCCTGGCTATAATAAGCAATCTAACGTATCTAGAGGTTACTACACCTCTGCACACAGCTACTGTTTTGTCGGGAATTCACACACACTGGGCTGCATCAGCTTGAAATAACTGCTCGATCTATCTGCAAGAATTTGGTGGATTGAAGGTATTTGTGAAATATGAGTAACACATGACAGATACAAGCTGAAGCAAATAAATGCCATACTTTTGAAATGTATCACTATGAATCAACAAGGAGTTATGTCCTCTCTGTATTATAAAGAATGCCATACAGTATACAATTACATATTAGAAGTTTGAAATACTGCAAAACAAGTCCATCACACTGTAACACAGCTGTAAGACAGGTGTAAATAAAAGGTTCCATACACATTTAGCCCTATGTTAGCATTTCACATAGTGGTTTTCAAAACACAATTTGCCTCAAAACCCAAAATAATTTTGCACACATTTTACATATATCTCTATGGGGGGGTTGTCTGATATTTACACTAGAGAGTTTAAGAGGCCACCTATTACAATTATGTAAAAAAAATATTAAAAAAATCAAAGCACCATAACTACTTCTGTATTTCAGCTTGCGAGTCCGAGAGCTTTCACCTGAACTAGAATCTGTGGAAAGACCTTCAAATTGGACAGAATGGTCAAAATTGCAGACTCCATATGGGTAAAGCTTGTGTAGGCTTAACTCAAACAGATATTAGCTGTAACTGCAACCAAATTTGATTCTGACAAGAGTATAAGAAATATTAAGTTGAGA